CCCTCCCCCTCCCCCTCCCTCGGGCGAGAACCTAAAGACGTGACCAGGTGGGTTTCAGGGGTCCAACCTATGGGCCCCTCTTCAGTGATTCAAAGGATGTACAAGCAGGGACCCTCGGGCAGAGGAAAGGCATCTTTGGGGGCTTCGCTGGAGGAAACAGCCAATCACAAACCCCAGGGCCCGCCTGTTCCTCACCTGGGAATGAAGACACTCCAAGAAGAAAGCTGGCTGCGGGTAAGAGGTTGCAGACTCTGGGAGCTCCCTCTGAGGGGCCACGGCTCCCTCCCTGGGCCTCCCACTTGGCCTGGTCCCCCTCACCCACTCCTCAGTCACACCATCCCTCCTGTCCGTGCCGATGTCCCCCAGGGGTAGGAGGCTGGCTGGCCTGTTCCTGCCCTGGCCCCCCTTCCCAGGCTGTGCACTGTCCTGGCACTACTGACCCCCATGTCCACACTGTTCTGTGCCCATGAACCCCACCTCAGTGCACCTGTGCTCACTGGGCTCCAGGTGGTCATGCTCACCTGGGTATTGGAAGAGCCCTGCTGTAGGACTGTGCCCTGTGGGTCCCTGACAGGCAGAGGCGGCCACAGCCCACTTGGCAGGCTGAGTGGTAAGTGGTGCCTGGCCCTGCATCTCGCCTCTGGTTCTTCCTGAGTCAGTTGCACTCAGCAGCCTCACTGCCTCTCCCTGTCTCCCTCTAACCCTAGGCCAGGGCGCCCCAAATCCCTGGAGGCACAGCTTAGCTTGGGCGAGATGGGGGCTGCTCTTGTCCACTGCAGTACTCTCAGGCAGTCTTCGCTTCACGTGCCAATGGAACCACCTAGAGATGGGGTCCCGGCCGTGCAGACCAAGGGCAGAGGCCAGAGGGGCGGGGGCTGTGTGGGCCTTTGGGGGACTCAGAAAGTGGGGTCAGAGCATGGCAGAGAGTCCACAGGGATGGCCATGGAAAGACGTAGGGGAACACCAGCTGAGGCCCTGGGCGGCTAAGCACCTGAGTCTCCTGTGGGAGGGTGGAGCTACCCATGGGTGGGCGGGAACTAGGCGACCCCAGCGGGAAGCCCTGAAGGCAGGCCCGATCCCTGGGAGGTACCTGGGGGAGGAGTACAGGCCACAGCCAGGGAGGAGGACCCAGGCAGGGGCTGGCCCAGGGCCACCTTGTGCACCCCCACGTGCGCAGACAGGCGTCTCCCATGTCCCTCACGTCCCTGCCCCGCTCAGCCCTGTGGAGCCGCCATCAATCAGGTAGGACTGCAGCCTGGTCTGGGACCCCCGCCCTACCTTTCAGCCGATACTTCTGTCCTGCTCCTGCCCTAGTTCCCCTTCCCTGACCACGCACCGTCCTGGTACTACTGACCCCCATGTCCAGGCTGGGGGCGTCAAGGACAGGAGGTGTACAGGGCAGGGGCCCCGGTTCCGGACGCTGGGAGCAGGATCCCGGGCGCGCAGCAGAGACGACCCCAGTCTCCACCTTGTCGCCAGTGAACTCTAGGGAGTCCTCAGCGGGGGGTCGGGGCCAGCCAGGAGGGGTCCCCGTAGGACACGGGGGACGGGGGCTGGCGGGGGCGGTTGAGCAGGAATGGGGGAC